AGTTAGACAACAGATAGACACAAAAGTTATAAGTAAGAGATAGATAATAGAAAGATAGAACAGAGACACAGGGTAGCTGGATTATGATAGATGGTAGGTATAGGATAACTAGAGGATTGTTGATGTATAAATGGATTGTACATACATGTTAAATAGAGGATAAAAGATATGTGAAAGATATCCACAGTTGAGTTTTTAGATAGATAGATAGATAGATAGATGAGATAGATTGATAGATGATATACATAGGTAGACTCATATAGCTAGAAGATAATATATGTTGGACTGTTAGACACAGGAAAGTTTGAGGATATATTATAGTTAGATGGAAGATAAAGGATAGCTGCAAGATACAAGAGAAATAAATGGAATATGGCCACAAGAAAGCTACAGATAGATAAATGGAAGATCAGCACAAAATAGGCTACTGAATAAATGGCATACAGATGCAAAATAGACAAAGGATAGGTGGAATATAGATGATACATGGAAGATAGTGGATGTAAGGGAGGCACAGGATGACTAGAAAGCTGGCAGGTGTTTCACACAGGATTGCTAGAGAACAGATGATAGATTGATAGAAGAGAGATTCAGGGTAGCTAAAGTATAAATGATAGAAGACAAAGGACAGTTAGAGTAAAGATTATAGGTAGACTGAAGATAGATTAAATCATGTAAAAGATAAATGACAGATAAATGGATGGTAGACAAGATTCTCTAGAGGGAAATGATACACACACACACACACACACACACACACACATATATATATATATATATGAGAGAGAGAGAAAGAGAGAGGATATATAGAGAGGATAGATGATGGAAGATAGACACTGCATTGCTAGAGAATATATTCATATAAAAGATAGATACAAGACAGCTAGAAGATAGATGATATGACAGAAAATAGACACTGAATAGGATAAAGGATACATGATATATAGAAGAAAAGATAGATGATAGATGGATGATAAGTACAGGAGATCTAGATGACATATTATAGATAGAAGATAGAAACAAAATAGCTAGAACATAGATGAATGGAAATTAAAGATAGGATTGCTAGAGTATGGATTATAGATAAATGGAAGGTAGACTAAGGATGCTTAGAGGATATAGGACAGATATAGTATAGCTGGAGGATAGATGATTAAACAGAAGATAAATGTACTATAGGTACAGGATAGATGAAAGATAGGTGAAATATAATAGCTGGAAAATAGATACAGGGAGATCTTGAGGATAAATTATACATGAAAAATATCCACATGATACCTAGAGGATAAATGATAGATGGTATAATACAGTCTGAATAGCTAAAGGATAGATGATAGAAGATAGATGCAGGGAAGTGATAAGATAAAGAATAGTAGTAGACAGATAGGATATCTACAGGATAGATAAAGGACACCTAGAAGGTAGATAATTGATAAATGGAAGATAGACACAGAATAGTTAGGATAGCTAGGAGATGGATGATAATTGGACAGAATGCAGATACCAGATTGTTAGAAGATAGACATTAGATATATTGAAGATAGACACAGGATATCTAGAGGACAGATGACTGATCAGTGGAAATTAACAGAAACTAAGCAGACAGGACAACTTTGGGATAATTGGTAGATGAAAGTTAGACACATAAGTAGAGTAAATATGAAGGAGAATAGACACATGGTATCTAGAAGATAGATGATTGATAGATGGAACAAGAGCACAAGATAGCTAGGGGATAGATGATAGATAGAAGACAGACACAGAAGAGTGAGAGGGTATACAGGTAGATAGACAGACATAGGAGAGCTACTGGATAGAAATAGATGGAATATAGACACAAGATGTATTTATGATTGTAGAAATTTAGGGGGCACACACAGGGTAGCTAATGATGGATGATAGACAATAGATACAAGATAGATAGAGAATAGACAGTAGTTAAATGGAAGATAATAGATGTAACAAAGACTTAGAATAGGTAAAAGATTGATGAAAGATAATAGATCTGAGAGGAATACAGTATAGATAGTTCATCAATGATAGATGGAAATTAGATATAGGATAGCAAAGAAATAAATGATACATTGAATGTAAGCACAGAATAGGTAGATGATGGATTATAGATAAAAGATAACAGCTGGAAGATAGATACAGATTAGTTAGATGATAGATTATTGATGTGAAATAAAAGATAGGAAACACAGGATGGCTTGAATATAATGGATAGATAGATGATGAGTATAAATCCAGGATAGATGTTATATATAGCATAAAATATAGAAATAGAAGATAAGTGATACATGCTAGATAGATGATAGATAAAAGATAGGTACTCTATAGGTAAATGAGAGGTACATATATGACAAATACATGCGTAGCAGATAGAAAATAGAGGATATATTTATATACATATAGACAGATGATAGTGTTTAGACAGATTTGATAGCAAATAGACAAGAAAATGATAGGAGATATATGATAGAAATGCATGATAGAAGATCTGTAATAGGTTGATAGGTGATAGAAAGTAGATAATGATATGTAGAAAATAAATGATAGACAATAGATAATGGAAAGATAGATGGTAGATGGTTGAGAGGTGACATGTAGAAGATAGATTGTAGGTGAGAGAATATGGGATAAATAGAGGAGAGAAAGTTGACAGTTGATAGAAACAGCACAGGTAGATGCTATAGACTGTGGAAAGATGACTGCTTAGTAAAATATTGGTCTGATTTGGTTTTAGAATTCACCTGTACATAACTGAAAAATGGAGAGAAATCGGCAAGAAGAAATGAGGAGGTAGGAATTCATAGCTGATATAGATGACAAAACCTTCTGCCCTGCCCTTAGTTTTTATTTCACATCTAGTCAAAAAATTCTCCCAGGGAAGGTTGACTGTCAAGACAAATTTGGTCTCTTTCTTGGGTTTTCCATTCTTCCAGACTCAATTGCATTGGAACATCTAGTCAGAATTACGGTTATTAAAGCAGGAGAGAACAGATGTAAATCAAAAACTTACTATTACACTCAAGCTAATTCAGGTTTACCAAAAGTAATTACTAAACCACAACACCAGCCATTGTGCTTGGCTGTGCTGGGAAGATACAGAAATAGATTAGTCTCAACTTTAAAGAGCCTCACAGTCAAAGGACTTTAAATAGAAATATGATTTATTTGTTTGCTGGTTCATTTATTATTTATTTTAAAGACTAGCTCATGCTATTTATTCCAAGACTTACCTCAAACCCGAAATCCTACTGCCTTCCTACCTGAGTATTGGGATTAAGGCCATTTGCTCACATATTCTGCCACAGTAGTTATTTTGTGTAATGAAGACACTGAATGTTTAATTAATTCACATTTCTCTTTCTGTCATCTTCGTCTTCCTATTGAGGCACCCATTGTTTGCCTCAGCCTTACTATTCATAAAGCTCACTCTTTAATTTTCTCTTGATTAGGGATGCTGTTAATCCACACCGGAGGCCAACACATGAGGATCTTCGAAATTTGCTGAAGGGATTTCAGAAAATTATGGATAAGTTTGGATATGGGCTCTCTAGACAGAGATCCAGAGCATGCTCTGAGAAACAGCAGGCAGCTGTTGCCTCTGTGTCTTCTGATAAAAGAGGTTTGATTTAGGCCCATTTCTTCTGTGTGTCATTGCTAACTTGAGAGCATCACAGCCCTCATCATGCTTCAAATATCTTAGGGGACAAAGTATTGGTTGGAGGAGATCTTGAAGTACTTTTGACTACACAGTTTGTTTCTCTTCATTCACAAGATGTTGTTTTTGTTTGTTTTATTTTTGCGTGTTTATGTTCAATGCATAAAATATTCCTGAGGCTTGTGCAAAAGTGGAAATTTCTAGAAGCATATATGGAAAATAGTAATGTTCATTTATGTGAACCTGTGAGATGATGCTTATATCATGGAACACATTTAGTTAGGGACATAACATGGTTTTATGCCTGTAAGCATGTAATCAAACTCCCGTAATCTTAGATGAAACAACTATTTTCTTGACCCCATTAATCATCTAGGAGTTTCTCTATTACTATGCTCTCTCTGTGGCTAAACTTCCCCAAATATTTGCTAGGTCTTGTGTCTACTCCCTCATATCGCATTTCTTCTTCAGCCCTATTCAACAAGGCTATGGCTGCTACCACTCTTCCTCATACTGCACTAATGCTATACACCCTATCCTCAATTTCTCTTTAGTGAGGACACTCGAGTTCCTCTGACCACTATAACATTCTCCAAGGGCATGCTGTGAGACTCCTGCCCTAAAGTCAGAATCACTCAGTACAAGGATTATGTATCTTGAGTCTTTTTCTTTTTCTTATATTTAGAGGGGATAATTCTTATTGATGTAAAGCATTAAGATAGGGGGTTGTGTTGCTAAGTTCCTTTGCTGATTCAGTTCAAGGAGTAGGGGTGGTAGGGCTATGAGGAGGGGCAGAGGATAATATCAGGTATACTACTCCCTGGAGAATGGGAGACAAAACAGTGACGATTGTTAAGCCTTAAAGATCGTCCAGTTAAAGGCTGTTGTCCAGAAATGAAAAGAGTAGAATTCCAGCTTTTAGCTAGGGCCTGGTAGTATGGTGTCTATGTAGAAGTTTTAACCTTGTCTGGCACATTATGGGTCCTGAGTTTTGACAGAACCAAAAGGGAACCTATAAGTTAGGTGATTTTCAATTCCATCATTTCTTTGTTTATAAGAATTGGTACTCTACAGTTGGAGTCTTTTCTATGATGTTAATTATAACTTTAGTCTGGCAAGACAGCTCATGAACATGGCATGAAAGCTGGAGGACTTGAGTTCAATCCTCAGAACCCACATAAAGGTGGAAGGAGAGAACTGACGCCTAAATGTTGTCTCTGACCTCCACATCATAATTTAATAAAATATTTCTAAATTATAAGTTTGAGGAATATAATATCAGTTGCTCATTATCTTAACGCAACACCTCTCATTTCTTTTCTGAAAAGGAGTATTAAATGTGAGAACCTATTTTGAACGAAAAAAAGTTCCTGTCTTCAATACCTATGAAGAATTTCATAAGACAGTTATTCAGGTAAGGGTGCTTACTTTACATGTAGATCACATACAATGCAAGATGCACTACAGCACTTTTCAAAGCATAACTGGAAAAGCGTATGTTTTTAAATAATATAACACGTGCTATAACAATATATATTCTTAGATTAAAACCTAAGTCACATGGGGGGTATCTTGTATCCTTTCAGGCACTTTTATTAAAAAAGAAAATTTGGTTTAGGGATCATATACTGAAATTTATGTTGTTAAGAGGCCTCAAGATGTATCATTTGAAATATGTCAATAGCTTTATCAAACCAAGTGCATACTTGAACATAATGGTGTGTGCTGTGAAACTGGAATAATTCCCTCCTCTAACACTTTTTAACTTCTGTCAGCTGTTAATAACTTCCATGCATTATTTTGACTCATGAAAAAAGTGGAGATTTTCTTTTAATTTCAGTTGAGACTTGGGATGTAGTTCAGTCACCACACTTGCCTAACTTATGTAGAATTCTGAATTCAATACCCTGATACCAATAAAAGTAACATAACAGTTTTGACTAACACATAATGATTCTCGGAACTGTTAGTTATATACTACAAGTATCTCCTCTCGCACAAACCTTTGGGTAATGGTACACTCAAACCAGTTTCATACTACAGCAGGTATTAAGATACTATTTGAAACTAATGATTCAGGTTTTTAATGATTATGGTATGATTCGAATTTTCTACTTTTCATGAGTCATCTTTGGTAAACTATAATTTCCTAAGAATTTGTCTATCCCATTACTTTCAATCTTAATGCCATAAAATTTATGATAATGACATCTAGTCGTATTGTTATGACTGAAGCTTCTGTAATGATATCTACTTTTTGCTCTTAAGATTGTTTGTTGACCTGGAGAGATAGATCATCCATTAAGAGCACTGGTTATTCTTGCAGAAGATCTGAGCTCAATTTCTAGCACCCACATGACAGCTCACAATTGTCTATAATTCTAGTTGTAGGGAATCTAATACCATCTTCTGGTCTCTATAGGAACAACACACACATGGTGCACAGACATATATATGAACACTCACACATACAAATGAATATATTTTTTAAAAAGTTAGTGCTTTTCACCGTGAAATTCACTTTATCAGAGGTTTATTACCAGTATTGTTCTTTTCAAAGAATTGACTTTTTACTTTCTTTTTAAAAATATCTTTGTTGTATCTTTATGTTTTGCTCTTCACCTCCATTCTGTCTCTCTGCAAATTTGATCATTTTAGACATTTATTTATAACATAAAATAGAAGCTTGCATTCTTCTTTCCCTGAGCAGCTTATTTCACTCACTAAAATATTTATGTGGTCCATTCATGTTGTATCTTGTGACAGAATTCTCTCTGAAGGCAAAATAATAGTCGCTTACACGTTATACTATATCTTGCAGAAGCTTTTATCTGTCAGTTGCTTGGAATATTTGTGAATCCTCTGTGGCTAAATCAAACAGTTGAGTTGGGATACTATATAAAGACAAGAAGCTTGGAATGGCATTGGTGGTATAGTGGTGAGCATAGCTGCATTCTAAGAAATGAGTCTTTTTAGCTGCAAGTTCAAAACTCTGTGTTCTTTTTTGATGACCCCTTGATTGCATTACTTGTGAGATGGATTCATGATGGAACTGGCTTCACAGTGGAGGTAGCATATGAGAGGCAACAATCATACTTTAAGAGAACGCCAGAAAATGAGGAGGAATCATTCTTCTTCTTCTGTAACAAACACCTGTAAGGAATTAACCATAGTCCCATAACAACTAAATTCATTACTAATGAATGCAGCATCCCTAGTGACCTCACACTATGTCTCTCCTTTTCAAGACCCTACCATCTCTCATATTGTAAAATGAGAATCAAGCTTCCAGTACAAGAGTTCTAGGAGGACTGGCCACATCCAAACCATAGCAGATTGCTTCCACTTTTTGGTCATTGTAAATAATGCTACTGAGAACATGGATGAAACAGCTATTTGAAGCTCTGCTTTCAACACTTTTGTATATGCCCAGAACCAGAACCACTAGAGTCTATGGTGTCCTCTAATATTTTGAAGACTGGTCATTTAGTTTTTCATAACTTCTTCATTTTAAGCTCTCAGTGTCAATATACAGGGGTTCAAATTCCTTCACAGTCTTCTCAAAACTTGTAGTCAGAGGCTTGTCTTCAGTTTTAGTTCCTTTCCATTTATATTTGCTTTGATTTCTGCTACTGGGCTTTGGTACCAGGACCTTGTATATCTGGCAAGCACTCTAGCAATATAACCACATGCCCAAACTCTTCAGTTGCGTTTTACCATGCAATACAACATTTACACTGATGTTTTCTTTTTCCTTTATGTTGAAGATGGAACCCAGGGCCTCACACACAATATAGAAATATTCTGCCATTGAACTATAGTCTCAACCCCTGAATTGATATTTTTATCATAGTGTCATTGGAAGACATTTTGATTATGTTTCACATCTCTTATCAGTTTTGAGTCTCTGGCTCATTCAAATTTTCAAAACCTTTGTTATCTGTGTTCCCATATTAAGCACACTTTTCATTTCTGAAAATCACAATGTTTTCTTTATACTCTCATTGTGCATTTTACAGTTTCCATGCATCCTTCATTTATAATAGATTGCCCTTCCCAATGTTTGTTACTTTGTTTTTACCATAAGGTCCTTTATTTGTAACTGTCTGTCTACATGAATTCTGTGAGCCAGTTCCTTAAAATAATCATTTTATTGCAGACCAGTGCTAAGGACTGCTTTGAACTAAATATTAAATTGGAGTTGTTGAAGACCACACAAGCAGTGTCTGGATTGCACTCTAAATTTAAGTTATTGTGGACATCTGATTAGTATTTCCTAAGGAAGGCCAGCTTTATTTGTCATCCTCTTCTTAGAATTGAAGCTGAGGCAGGCACACACATATCCATATCTCCTTTAAATAATCTTTTGGCATTTCACATGCTCTTTATGCCACCTTCTGGGAAACGAGGCTTCACATCATGGTTTCTGACGCCTTGTGCTATCTATTAATACACCTTTACTTTATTCCCAAGCTCTAAGTCATCTGTGATGGACAACTTTCCCAAGGTTCTAACATTCCTTAGGTCCTAGTGCCTACATTCATAGTCATCTGTGGTATATTGTCTCCCTTACTTTACTATGAACTTGGTCCTGCTATTGAAAGCAAGTTTCTTATTTTTATTTTATCACATATTAATTTCATGTAACAATGAGTTTCACTGTGACATTGCCATACACTTACATAATGTATTTTGATCTAATATGCATCCCATTGCCCTCTCTTGTCCCTTCCACTTCTCACTGATCCCTTTTCTCCTCTTGGCTACTCTCCTCTTCTACTATCATAGTTTGGAGGAGGAGAATTTCATGAGACCACACTCCTCTCTGAGAATTAATAGTTAATAGCAGCTAAGGGAGAGTGGCTCATGAGTCCTCAGATCCTCCTAAGGATTTCTAGGCAGTTAATGTTTGCTAAGGGAATTAGAGACATTTTCTTCTGGCTGTAACCACTGGAAATCTACTCAAAAACATATATAGAATCTGTCAACTATGCTCCTGTAAGCACCCCTAATGAAATTTGTAGAATCAAGTCTGAAAACAGTTTTATAGATTAAAAAATCATTTAAATGTTCCTTACAAGGAAGTATTTGTCTGCATACCAAATCCACTATACAGAAAAGTGATGTCAGTAACCATATTTACAAGTAGATAATTAGACTAAGCACAAATAAAAGTGCCCTTAAATGCTTAGCATTTAAAAATTAAATATGCTTGAAGTGTGACAATCAACACACAGTAATGAATCTTCCTAGCTTGTGTTGGAGAGTTTAGTACTAATAGGGTGTACTCTGAAATTTGTTTGTCTAAATTACACATCATTTGGTAAATATCTCGTGCTTAAGGTTAAGGAGATTCTGTGTAGGAGGCAGAATAATAGATTTTTATTAAATATGTGCTTACTTTTTGATATGTAAGAAATAAAATACATTTTCAGAATTCTGTTATAATTTATATACTTATAAATAAACCTATCGTTTTATTATTGTTGCTCTATATAATTATGTTATTATTCTCTTTATTAGTCATTTGAAAACATTTCAATTGTACTGAACATAGAAGGGACAGTTGTTTTTATATCGCAGAATGTGTCACCTCTTCTTGGCCATCGTCCAGTAAGTTCTTCCAGCTTTTGGGGGAAAGGGTCATTCTGGTTTGCTGTTAATAGGTTATTTCTTTTTAGCTTCATATAACTCACTGGTGTCTAACTATGCCCATTTCATCATCTTCTCCACTGGTTTCAGTGTTAAGTCAATAAAAATAAATTCTAGTTTCAGGATTTGAGGTAAGAAAATACAATTTCGATTTTTCTTGAGTTTTTTTTAAGAAGACTGGTTTTGTTTTACTTTGCCTGGAACTGATGAGTCACATACCTCAGGGTTTTTTTTTACTTTTTTTGTTTGTTTTTTGAGACAGGGTTTCTCTGTGTAGCTTTCGGGCCTGTAGACCAGGCTGACCTTATACTCACAGAGATCCACCTGCCTCCACCCGAGTGCTGGGATTAAAGGCGTGTGCCACCACATCCTAGCTCATACCTCATCTTTTAGGGAGGCCTGCATCTCCACACAAGTCAAGCATGCACTTTTTGATATAGCAGTTGCTTTGGAATCAGTAGCTAGCCTCTAAGTTCCTACTTTAAGGGAAGGCAGCTCTCACCAAGATGAATGTGGTATAGGGCCTGTTACATTCTGACTGAACAACAAGTGAAAGTCATGATTTATTCATTTAGGTTATGGCATTTATTGTAGGTCTAATTTTTCTGTATCTTATTTCTTATTTAATTGTTTTTAATCTTATACTTTTTAGTTTATGTGCACCAACAATTTGTCTGCATGTATGTCTGTGCACCATGTACAAACCTGGTGACTGTGGAGGTCAGAAGAGGGCATTGGATCCCTAAGAACCAGAATGATAGACACTTGTGAGATGCTATGTCAGTGTTGGGAACTGAATTCAGGTCCTATACAAAAGTAACAAATGCTTGTCATTTGTGGATGTACAGATTAAGATACACAGGACTAGGATACTATAGGTCAATTTTATTTGGTGAGAAGTCACTTACATGAGATACCGATAACCCACAAGTTCCAAATCCCACACACTCATGTACACACCTGTGACCACACCCATATATGTGTGGTTTACCATAGATGATAAAGAGTATGAAACCTCTGAGCAAACTATATAAAACAATGAGAATAATATCATAGCTAGCATTCTCAGAATAAGAAATCCTCATAAAGTAGGAAAAAGTAACTAATCTCAGCTGATACTGAATTTCATTTCATTAGAAAAAAGGTGAAGAATATCTGAGTTTGCCGTGAAATAGTTTCTAATCTACTTCCAACATAACTCCGGGATACCTGATAAACTTTATTATTTTCCATGCTTCAAGCCCTTCATGTGTGTGTGTGTGTGTGTGTGTGTGTGTGTGTGTGTGTGTGTGTGTGTGTGTGTGTTATTGGCAATTGAAAGCAGGACCTTGTTCATGCTAGGTGAGCTTACTCTTACTGAGCTAATTTCAAGCTCTCTGAATTACTTTTATGACGATATCCCCATTTCTTCTACCAATGAAAGAGCGACATGTCTTTTTGTTTTATATTTCACATCATATTTTTTGCATATCAGTTTGATATTTTGAATTTTCTGCAAGTTTAAAAAATCCTTTAAAAAGTAAACATACAAAATTAATGGATTTCATTATAGCTGTTCCTTCCTTCCTTCCTTCCTTTCTTTCTTTCTTTCTTTCTTTCTTTCTTTCTTTCCTTCTTTTTTCTTTCTCAGCAAGATAAAATAGTATTCTACAGTTCAGGCTGCCCTGAAACTCCCTATGTAGCCCAGGTTGTTCTTAGACTCAGGGCATTCTATTTGCCTTAGTGTCTTGAGTCCTGAGATTACAAGTATGAATCTTTTTCTAGCTCATTAGCACATTTTATACATATGTGACATACTGTATTCCTACTTACACTCATGGAAATTATAATTCATGTAATGTTCATCTTTGGTAATGTTTACTCCCTGTAAAAACATTAATCACTTCATATATAATATCTATAAGTAAGAACATTTCTGTAGCACATTTTGTATGATAGGTGGAAGTTGGGTTTGAGGCCCTTGTGGTGTAATTAAAAGAACAATAAACACGAATAAAATGGAGAATAATTTTTCATCTTGTAGGGAATAATGGAGCTGCACTATGTGTAAATATTTAGACAATGTCTGTTTGTGAGGTGATTGTTTAATCATTTGTTGGATGGGAAAATCAACGAAAGTTCAGGTTAATCAGATATAAACTAGTTTGGGGATTTGAATTGTATTTTATAAATCAGCCAATGAAAACTTTTTGTTGAAAAATAAGTATTTCTTTTTGGTATTGGGAATTGAGCATTCCCAATCAAAATAAACAAGGTTAGATTAAAATACATAGAGGGCTTGGGACTTGAAATTGTGAGGAAGGTACAAAAGAGAAAGGATTCACATCGAAGATGTCAAAGGAAGACAATGTGGGGGTTTCCCATCCACATTCAGTTGGTTGGATCAAGATCCAACACAACACTATGGATGAAGAGCTGAGATTTTTCCAGGCATGTAGCACAGAGGGAAAGAACACATGGTGATGATTACAGAGCCGGTGGTCTCTAAGATGGCTAGGGAAGACTTCAACTGCTTGTGGGAGATAATGTATAGGAAAACTGTGTCCAGAATGGATTGCAGCTTGGGTAATTGTTTGGGGTAATGAAAACTGGCTGAAGCACAGGACCTAAAGGGATAAATGGGCAAGGGGAAAGCTAAATTCACTCGTGATGAGGAGGCAGAACTGACTAATCATATTCATATAGAAAGCAAACTCTGCTCTCTCTTCCTCTCTCCAGGAAGATATTATGGGGACGTCTTTATTAAATATTCTTCTCAATGAAGAAAAAGAAAAAATATCTCAGAAGATTATTCTTGATCTTCCTTTGGCACAGTTTGGTATGTATACATGGTTTTTTTTGTTTTAATTTAATTTCCAGGTGTTGAGTGACAAGTAACACTCAATGAATAATTTCTTGCTTTCTTACCCCTTAGTATTTTTTGAAAAAAGTAGTCATTGTAGCTGATGATCATATATTCATTTTAGTTTCTAGCTTATAACATCAAACACTATGTTTCTAACATTCAAAAAATTCTCATAGGTGCTCACCCTCAGCTTAAGTACTAGTGACACTTGATGGATGCTGGTGGCGGGAAGTGGGTTTTCTTCAAGGATGTGGTCTCTGGCAGGCTGCCCATGATCTAGTGCAGTGGTTCCCAACCTTCTTAATGCTATGACTCTTTAATAATTACTCATGTCATGCTGACCCCAACAGTAAAATTGTTTTTGTTGTGACTTTGTAACTCCGATTTTGCTGCTGTTATGGATTATAATGTAAATACTTTTGTTTTCCAATGGTCTTATGTGATTCCTGTGAAACAGTCATTTGTCCCCCAAAGGAGTTACGACCCACAGGTTAGGAACCGCTTTTCTAGTGAATGCTTCACATTCAGAAGTATAAAGGTAGCACAAATTGGAATTGTATGGGGGTTTTTGGACACAAAATTGGAAAGGACTGAGTGGGGAATTGGATCTGGGAGGAGCTTAGAGGAGTGAGATATGAACGTGATAGAAATATATCACATGCATATATGAAATTATTAAAGAATCAATAAAAATAATTTATTGAAAAATCATTCCCCAACCCTGTGCTTTTCTTTACCCTATACCCTAATTATAGTAGTATTTCTCTAATTGCTGTAGTGTTATATAGACACTTATATATTATATTCTAGCTAGTTCCTTACTCTACATATGATAACCCTGTGAGTACCACCATTCATGGAAAGAAAATTGTGTCCTTTAAAATGTTGTCTCAAGCCAGGTGTGGTGGTGCACACCTTTAATCCCAGCAGTTGGGAGGCAGAGACAGTTGGATCTCAGTGAGTTTAAGGCCAGCCTGCTCTACAGAGTCTGTTTCATAACAGCCAGGGCTCACTCTGGAAAAACCCTTCCAAATCAAAAATGTTGCTTTGACTAAGGAATAATTTTATTGTCTGAAATCATCCATCTGACTATATAACTTTGTTTCTTGCTCTCTTTAGTTGGAAATCTTACTGAATTTTGCTGTTATGTAAGAAGAGGAAATGTAGGCCAGGATTCCCAGGGAAGATATGGTTACAGACGCATGCAAGAAGGAAGGGACAAATATGAGTATGTGAAATTCATCTTGTACCTGCAGGATTCTTATGATGGTAAGCAACCCAGCCCATGATCTTTAAATAATGTTCAGGAATGATGTATTCATGATTTCTAGCATACATGTTCTTATATTATTGATATTTACAAAAATCTCTTATACCCTTACACTCACAATTTCTTCCTACACTTATTAGACATTAAAAATCGTGAAATTTATAAGGCAGAGTCATATAGAAACATTGTAGATTACATTGCTAAAGGATGGCTGTCTCCTCTTACAAAACAAAATGAACTTTAAAACATAATCAAAAAAGTTTAATGCACTGTCAAACTTAAAGAGAACTCCATGAATACTCAAAGCTACAAATGCATTTTGTAGCTTGTAAATCACACCTCAGATTGGATTAACTGAGGTCTAGAATTCTAACATCCTATAAAGGGCAAATATGTAAAATATAGACCCTAAAGTTCTGTATAGTGACCTAGGGAAAGAAGTTTGTCATCTCTCCAAAATTTTCAATAGATAAAAATTATGCTGTTTCCACATTTATGTCCTGTGTGCTATGGAGCCTGGTGTATAATTTTTGAGATTTAAGGAAGTGTAAGCGGATAAATCAACATACATAATTAAAATTAACTGCTTCAAAGCCATAAAACATCTGAGGTAATCAGAGGTAAGATACACTTGGTGCTTCAGGTACCCAAATGTTTCTCATAACATTCAGGTACCCAAATATTTCTCATGTTTCTTGGAATTTAAAGGTGAAATATCTCTTTAAAATACTTAGACAGCCAGGCATTGGTGGTGCATGCCTTTAATCCCAGCACTCGGGAGGCAGGGGCAGGTGGATCTCTGTGAGTTTGAGGCTAGCCTGGTCTACAAAGTGAGTTCCAGGACAGGCTCCAAAGCAATACACAGAAACCCTGTCTTGAAAAACCAAAAAAATCCCACTTAGACAGATTCATGTATATTATGTATAATTACACACACACACACCATATTTCTTTTAGAAACTACCACAACAATCCATAGGGCAGCAGATTGACATAAGCACAAATTCGCATTTGATTTTCAGTATGAGTGCCTCAAATTTTGGTGCTAACCATCTGGGGAGCTGGAGTGGAATGGAAGGAAAACAAAGAAAATCTCATGGTCCAGAATCTTGAAAAATGCCAATGGGATGGTAAATAGCATTATAATGTGGCAGTGTGTGTCTCCTTGCTTATACAGTCTATCTTTTAATTTAATTACCATTGTGTCTACCTCCCTTAGAGTCATTTGTATTTTTTGGAAACTATGGTCCTAATAGCAGAAACATTTGGTCATCAACTACAAAGTTGTTATGGGAGCAACAGTACTATCTCGTGGGGACCATTTCAGTTCTTCGTACAATGGCCAAATCGGTGAGTATGCTGTATATTTCTCCCTCTACAAAGGGCACATCATTTTCACTTTCATCCTCTTGACATCAGTGCGCAAATTCAGTAAAGAAAGAACAAATTGTATATTTCTGTTAGGGAGTGAATTCCATGTAAACAGCTGCTCTCTTTTTCCACCTTAGATAGTTGATTGTAAAGACTGTTCACCTCTCAAAGGGAAAGCTATAATATAGAATCCAAGTGGTAGATTTAAATTCCTTTAGTTTATTCTTTGAATAACATGGGATACTTCTCATATCCCAGATATTATGGTACGTGTGGGTGAATACATAGAGGCAGACAATAAACAAAGTATTGATGGCAAATGTCATAAGGGTGAGAGGCGGTAGGGTATTTCTTTCTGGTGATTTGTGTTTGGAGTACAGGACCCAAAGGATGATAACGAAGGTAGTCTTGGCAGAGAGTGCCTTGACCCTAGTTTGGAGAGTTTGAAGGAACAAAATTGGTTATGTGCTTCAAATAAGGGAAAGAAGTTGGGGTATAGTGGAGGCAGGCAAGAGATATTGTACAGAACTTCACTATCTGTAGTAATGCATATGGGATTTGTACTAAGTGCACTGGCAAACAGAGGGGTAGTATGATCTGACATCACCAGGATGCTATATAGATGGATCATGAATCATAAAGAAACAAGAATGAAGTTAACCAGGTGTGGATAATAGTTCTGGATTGATTTTAGTCCAGGATTTGGGATTAATGGAAGCACTATCAGCAGATACAGGCAAGACTAGAGCATTGTAGACTGGGCAGTGTTAATGGCCCAGATGAGGTGCTGTTTAGCCTGTGGACCATGTTCCTATTGTGCTGGCATATTAGACCATTATGACATTCAACTGTAAAATAAACCCCTTCTATGTATTGAAGACAGTAAGGAGAGTGATATAGAGGGAAAATCTGAAGGAAGTTGATAGCCTCATTCATTCTTCCTTTGTACTAACCACCTGGGACCTGAAGTCTATTATCTGACATGAGAATTCAGACTTATCCCCAAGATTTACTTGGTGGATACTTTGGAAAACAAATCTAAAGAGAACAGACAGGTAGTGGTATAAAATAGTGAGCAGAGAACTTGAGTCAAAGTGAAATTCTTCTGGATCTACCAGTGTTAAGCTAAACCATTTTATGTATATACCTTGTTTTCATACCTGTAAACCCAGTGTCTTCCTCACACTGACACATGGATCAGTTGTTACTTGAATATGTAATGTATGTTATAAATGACAAGTAATTTTTTAGCATACAGATACATTTAAGTGCCAATTATGGGGCTGGGAAAGGGTGTAGCTCTACTCTGTACAAGGCTGTAGGTTTGGCATGCCAAAATGATGATGACAACAATGGAAACCAATATGCTAATTTTTCTTCAGGAACATCCCGTTGACATTAAACCTCCAGTTATAGTTGTTGAATCAGATGATGACAGTTTTATAGAGCACCGCAGGTAAGATGTAGCATGGCTGTAAGTAATGCAGAGCTGAAACCTTTTTTTGCTAAATAAAACCCAAGCAATAGAAAGATCATCTAAGGATTTTAATGAATTTACAATGACCAATTTGTTGGTCTGAACCTACCTTATCATTTAATATAATTTATTGTTTTCCAACAGAATACACATGATTGCCTTCTTATTTTTATTTTTAAAATATTTTATCTTGAAAAGTGCATATTTTCTTGTCTATCTATCTATCATCTATTTGTGTGTATGTTTGTGTATGCCAGCTTCCATATCTGTGTATTTTAATGTAAGTAAGTAGTCATGTAACCAGTGTATGTTGCATTATTTTCTAGATTGGTCCAATAATGGTCCTAGAAAAATGACATAAAAAATACAATATACATTTGAGGATGTGAGCCCAATTCTTGAAACCCACATGATGGAAAGAGAGGCCTGATTCCTGAAAGTTTTACTCAGTCTTTCACACAAATGACATACATGAATGCACACACACACACACACACACACACACACACACACACACACACACACAAATAAAAATTTAAAAAATAGGAATATTGAAAGTAGACATGGTAGCATTTGGAATATGGAGTAAGGAGAATCAATAACTCAGAGTTATACTAGCTGTCCCAGAATTCACTCTGTAAACCATGCTGGCCTTGAAGTCACAGAGATTCTCCTGCCTCTGCCTCCCAACTGCTGGGATTAAAGACATGTACCACTGTGTACAGCCTGCAAAGACAATTTGAAGGCAAAAAGTTCCCTTAAGGTCTCAAGAAAAGTTTAATCTTATCCTTTAAGAGAGTTCTGCCAAGCCAAATAAATGTAAGGTGAAAGATTAACGCCTGAAGTAGTTGGGGGGCCACAGGCGGCAGGCTGCTTGCTACCTTGAAAAAATTCACAGTTGGGAACAGATTGATAAAAAGTAACAATGTTCTGCAGTCAAGACACAAGGTTAAGAAAAATTCAGGGATGACCGGAAGTTTTCAGTCTTCAATGATTGGTTTACAATGAGGGAACGGAGTCTGGGTCTAGTACAGTTGTCTGTTGGGTTTGCAACTAGAAGCTCTCAAAGCCCCGAAAGCCTGCAAAGACAGACTTTTGGATTCGCTCATCTATAAATTCACAACGAGGAACACTACAGAGACTGAAAGTGGATTAGTATTTGCCTCTGGCCAGGTATTGCGGGTGGATGGGGACAAAGAGGAATGATTGCTAGAACAGTATATAGTCTTTTCCCAAGATATGAAATGTTAAACTCACTTGGGGTTGGATATTTCTCCTAGTGTTTTGACCAGCAAATGCAAAGCCCTGAGGTCAGTCACCAGCACAAAAATAAATGCTTAAAGGACTAAAAACCTCAAGGGAGTAAAATTACTCCAACCACTGTATGATCATTGAATTAATAGCTTTAATTGAATTGTATGAAATGCAAATTGTATGAAAGCTTTTTTTCCCTGGGGCTGGGAATGAAGGAAGCATAAATCTAGAGTAGTTAATATCACATGCCTATAATATCAAACTTGAGAGGTGGTGGCAGGCAGATCAGTTTTTAAAAATTATGTGTCTGTATATTTTGCCTGCATGTATGTCTGCACACCACAGGTATACAGGGCCCATGGAGGCCAGAAGGGGTTTGAGATATGCTAGAACTGGAGTTACAGACAGTTGTGAGCTGCCATGTCTGTGCTGGGAATTGAACCTGGGTCCTCTGGAAGAGTAGCTGCTGAGTCATCCCTCCAGCCACCAGATGAGAATTTTGAGGTCTCCTTTGGTAACATACTGAGTTTAAGGCTAGTTTGGGATACATGAGATCCTGCATCCAAAAGAAAATCAACATGTATGTGTGTATATATGTACATAATACATATATGTGTATGTATGTTTGTTTCTTAGAATTTTATTCAAGTATTTTTTATGTTTAATTTTTTTCACCCTGAAAATCAAACCAGGAAGAGTAAATATTAAACATTTCATGTCCAAATCATATATGCAAATGGATGCAATGACTCATTAACTCGATTTTTTCTTATTTTATCTCCTCTGAATGCATGTAGAATTTCCCAGGTATCATTTATCATATTTACTGTTAGGTTATTTCATTTTTTGTTTTAATGTTTTTTAAAGCCTCATTTATTAACACACTCCAGCCTCTCATATTTTAGAGTAAAGGGATTTTTCTGTTGTTTGGTCTCTCAAATACAATCCTGCTTTTTGTGTTCATGTGGTTTACAATGTTAGGATTAACCAGGATTTTACACTTGTTGGCTAAGTACTCTTCCACCGAATCACACCTTTAATCCTAAGACACGGTACATTTTAAAATTAGGCATACAAAATAGGGGGTTTACATTATGACGTTTACATACAATCTACCATTATATAAAATAGATTTTTTTCTTACATGAAATCTTTTATTATTTTTATCTGTTCTTTTTTTCCTCTTCATTATTTAATTTAAGTTAGAAACAAGCTTGTTTCATATGCCATTCCAAGCTCTCTCTCCTTCCCTCCTCCCCTGCCCTCCCCACCAGGCCCTCCAGTCTCCCACCCAACCTCAAGTCCGATCCCCAGGGAGGGTGAGTACCTCCATTGGGGATCTCCAGAGTCTGTCATTTCATCCAGGGCAGAGCCTAGGCCCTCCCACAAGAGTCCAGGCTGAGAGAGCATCCCTCATTGTGGGATTGACACTCAAAGTCTATTTGTACGACAGGAATAAATACTACCCAAGGCCCCATAGATTACCTAGGCCTCCTCACTGATACCCACCTTCAGGGGATCTGGGTCAGTCCCATGCTTTCCATACAGCCATCAATATGGGGTCCAAGAGCTCCCCCTTGTTCAGATCAACTGTTTCCGTGGGTTAAACCAACCCAGTCTTGACTCCTTTGCCCACCACTTCTCCCTTTCTTACACTGGATTTCAGGAGTTCTGTGTGGAAACAGAAACTCCATCCAGAGACTGAAGGAAGCAGATGCAGACACCCACAGCTAAACACTGAACTGAACTCCTGGAATCCAGTGTTAGAAAGAGAGAACTGATGGGTAAAGGAGTTAAGACTGGGCTGGTTTAACCCACATAAAATAGATTTTAATTTAATATTCTTACTATTTTTTGAGAATTTCACACAATATATTTAGGCAATATTCACCCCAACTTCTCTTCCTAACATTTCCTAGATTCATTCCCTCACTTGTGGTGATATATTGTTTATGATTTATTAAAACTTGCCTGAGGGTTCAAAATGCAAAGCTAGCCACAAGTCATAGAGGCAGGCAATGGTGACACACACCTTTAATCTCAGGACTCAAGGCCACACTGAGCTACATGAACTTGATCCAGTTTAAAAGAGAAAAAGTTCACACAAAGGTGAGCTTAGCACCTGGGATCACATGCCTTTATTTCCAGCATTTGAGGTATGTAAAATAGGAACAGATATTCAATTGGGGGCGTTTTGGTCTCCAGCCACATTCAAGCAATTAGTCTCCAGCCACAGTGAGGGCAGGAATGCTTCAGCCTGGGTAGAGGTAAGAGATACTGGCTTGGTTGCTTTGCTTCTCTGATCTTTCAGCTTGAACTCCAATATCTGTCACTGAGTTTTATTTTTCTTGTTATAGTCACCTTCTCCCCCTCCCCCTCCCAACTTCATGGCTTCTTTTGTTTTATATATTCTACTGACTCTGTTTTGTGCTGGCTACATACTCATGGATTTGGGGCTGTCTATTAAAACTTGTTCAGTCTACCAATGGTCATACCCTTAAATAAAACTGATAATCCCTTCTCCAAAAGCCACCAACTCTCAACAGCTCAAGTTAGAAATAGATGTTTATAAGCCCTTCCCCACTCCACTCTACAATGTTGACTGGCCTGATCTTGTGTAGGTTTCACACAGGCCACACCACCACCATGAATTCATGAGTGCAGTGATCCTGTCATGGTCAAGATGACAGTTTTCCTCTTGATCTCTGGCTCCTACAGTCTTCTTGCCCTAACTTCTGCAACAGTACCCAAACCTTGGGTGCCAGGGGGTCATATAGATGTACAATGTAGATCTAACACTTCAGTAACACTTATTCTCTGCAATTTGACCAGTTGTGAGTTCCTATGTTAACCACTGAATACTGCACAAAGAAACTTCTTTGATAAGTTCTTAGACATGCACTAATCCATGGGCATAACAATATGAATTTAGAAAGCAGTTTAATACTATGTTCATTTAGCAAAATAATGGCAAGTAGATTCACCCCTGGGGCTGGTGAGCTCCCTGGCCTTGTGTCCTTGGTTAGATTTAAAGTATTAGACATGTGTTTTCCTCCTGTGGTGTGGCCTTCAATCCAGTGAGAAATTTGTTGGTTATTCCCATAACATTCATGCCACTATTGCAGACATGGACATATCTTTCTATGACAGTCATTAATATTGATCACAGTGTTCACAGCTGGTAAGACCTTTGATGACTTTTTCCTCCATTTTTCCTCCATCAGCCTATGTAACTCCTTCCATTACTGTGAATGCTAGCCAGCAGAGAGGAAGCTTCCTCGCCAGTACACAACACATTTTAATAATGATATCTTTATGGCTTTATTAAGGTGTGTAAAACGACGCAGGGGGAGTGAAACTGAAAGAAATTGCCAGGCTGAAAATGTGAATATGGAACATCGTGAATCATCTCCCGAAGTAAGTAAATTGACAGCCATTGAGTAGAACCCTGGGCCTTTATCCCTGTGATGTTATTATTGATGTAATGTGTGTTGCCAACAGAAAGACTTTCATTTCAGTGACTGTATTGTGAGCATGGCAGCATCCTACAGTATGCTTTTTTTTTTCTTATCGTAAGTAATGACCATGCTTAGAATAGTCCCTTTGATAAGTTAGAAAACAATCAAGCCAAGTTCCTTTCCAGAAGTTATTAAAAGTGTTTATTTTTGTATTTCATAAATAGAGCTTGAAAGTCGGGCTTCTTGGCTTATATGCATGTAATGCTAGAACTCAGGGCTCTGAGGTAGGAAGATGGCTGCAAATTTCAGACCAGCTTGAGATACATAGTGAGTTCCAGGATATCCTGGCCTAATAAGTTATATTTTATCTCAAAAAACTTTATCAATGTATGGGAAAATGCTCAATGGTTAATTGAGCTTCCCGTGTGACCATTAACACCCAAATGCAAGTCCCCAACACCTACATAAAAATCTGGGTGTAACTTCTCACACTTGTAACCCTCACTCTGTAGAGCAGTGGATCTTTACCTTCCTAATGATGCTACCCTTTAATACAGTTCCTCAATGTTATGGTGACCTGCAACCATAAAATTATTTTCATTGCTATTCATAACTGTAATTTTTCTAGTTATGAATCATAATGTAAATTTTTTGGAGATAGAGGCTTGCCAAAATGTTGTGACCCACAGTTTGAGAACCACTACTGTAGAGGGTGGAGACAAAGAAAACTGTTGGAACTTGCTGAGTGCCAGCCCTAGATTATATTCAGCAAGAAGTTTGTACTCAAAGGAATAAGTTAGTAATAAAGCAGGGCACCCAGTGTCATTCACAGGCATATTGCTGTTTGCTGCACTAGACTCTATGAGGAAACTTCAGACAGTATTACACATACCATTATGGGCAGTGTATTATCCCTAATTAATTTTGCTTGTTCCTATCCTTTCCCTAAGGTATTTCATTATTATCATTCATTCTCCATTCTTCACTTTTTTACTGGAGTGAGTCAATTAGGGATAAACATTAATGCAAATATAAAACCTGGCCTTCTTCTTGGTCTGAAACTGAACTCCAATACAATATTACAATAAAACTTGAAGAAGAGAGGTATAGAAGAACAGACATTTCCCAACGGAACTCAGTGAAGTTGTCCCTCCTTCCTTGCCATTCCATGCTGCATGTAGCCTAGGTGATATTATGAACCCACCACATTCATACATATGAAACAAAAACTAACACATGCTTTTGTAAAGGAAGGGACTTGTATGTAAATAGCATACACCCAGACTAGAGTTAGCCACTGACTTAGCGTACTCTACCCAAGCACAACAGACTTAAAGCTTCCACCTCTGAAGAACTTATGGTGAACCTAGCATTTTGTTCAGAAAAGTACAAAACAGAGGAAATAATATAGAAGACTAAATGGAGATATAGAAGACAGAGGGGGGCACAAAACTCAAATTGAACTTTAAGCAAAATGACACCAAGCAAGATGAATGGCAGTTGAATATCAGGTCAACAGAATATCTTTCTAAGTAATGAGAAGATTGCCATATTTCCAATATTGTATTAAGTAGTACAGATCACAGAATACTTAATCAGTCAGGTTATGCTTGTTTCCTGAAGGTGAGATGATCCAAGAAACAAGTTTCTAAAAGAAAAATTGTCATAGATCTATATCTTAAGCCAACCCTACCCAACCAAGCAAACCACCACCATGAAACTAAACTAAGTATTTAGGCAGAGATGTACAGAATTTGCCTGATGAACACATTTCATATGAAGAGTGGTCCATGTGCTATTCAAAGCTGATCAGGTTGTTAAGGAAATAGAACTAACTATACCACTCATTGAGAATAAAATATGCAAATTCCTACCTTATTAAGCAATGTCTGGCATGAGTTTTTTACTTTTGAAGATGACCAAAATGGTGACCACTAGATTCTGAGAAGATAGCTTATTCCATAAAGTGCTTGCGTTGCAAAGACAATGTCTTGAAATTATCCCCAGAACACACCTCAACATGGTATACATAACAGCATGGTGTTGTGGACTTATAATCCCAGTGCTGAAGAGGCAAGCGCAGGCAGAGTTCTGGGGTTTATTGTCCAGCCAGATTAACTTCAACAGTGTGAGAAACTAGACTCCTATGGTTGTCATGTAGCTTCCAAATGCATGTTCATATGTGCACAAACACCCACAGGTATGCATGGGTATACACATACACACACAAATTATCTGTAGAAACAGTATTTTTAATTTTCAATTTTAATATTTCTAAGCTGATGTTAGGCTATTTTATATACCCTTGCAATGCTGAACAACAAGCTTCTCTGCTTGCTCTTGCAGTGCTGGGCTGCCACAAAGAGTAAAAATGTCCATTTGCCACATGGTCATGAGCTGCCATGTAGTTGGTGGAAATTAAACTCAGGTCCTGTGGAAGAGCAAGCAGTGTGCTTGAGCATTGAGCTATTTCTCCAGTCCCATTAAATTCTATTTTAACCTTAGATAACTTTCTATTTAAGACTAGTTTCTTGGTAAGTAGCCTGATCCCAAGTTGAGCATCCATAAATGGTTTAAAGCAGCATTTGACTAAAACATAAGCAACCTTAGGGAAACTGACAGCAATGGTTTCCTTTTCTACAGCCAAAATACTCTTACTGATACCATCCCATTTTATCAGCCTAAAACATTAATCATCTCACATTTGGCTTTCACTTGCAGGAAGCATACTCTGCATGTGCAGGAACTGGGGGAAATCCCATCAGTGTCTACAGCCCCACAGTTTTTGAAGCTAGGAACCTTACAACAATTATTTTTAAGGATATATGTGAAGATCTTGTCTTGGCTCTTCAATTGATTGAAGCATGTTTGAAATTATGTTTGAAGTCTGAGGCTCTGCCTGTGTTTCCATTTGTTTGTGTCTTATTCTGTCTGATTAGTGAAATGTGTTCTCTTCTTTTGGAAATTCAGGTTGAGATTATAGATGTTCGACCAGCCATTCAGAAAATTCCACTTGAATTAGGTCTGCCCAGGACACAGTCTCAATCAAGTATATGCTCAAATATAAGTATAAATTCAAACAAGAGCACAACCACAAGCAATTCGTCCACAGATTTTGCAACATCAGCAGCATTATCATCACGTAGGTACACCCAGCTATTTGAATGTGGACTAAATAAATGAGATGACCTTCAAGGTGGTTGCAAGGCTTAAAATATAGTGTCCGGTTTATAATGGTATGAAATTGTAGGTGTCAAGTCCAACTTTGCTCATTTTCTGTAAATTTTTTGAGATGGCGATTTCAGAGCAATAAAATAAGTATCTTCTTACAGATTCAAGCAATTGGGACTCTTATGCATTTTAGAATTCCCAGCTAGAAATGTCCTCCTTCCTGTTTAATTAGTATTATTCTCTTGCTTTTGATTTTAATACTGCAAACATTGTGGTAGACCTGTCTTTGAAGAAATAACAGTTTATCATTTATGTACACACAGTCTATTTTACTGCAGCAACATATTTCTGTGGGTTTTGTTGATGTTTTGGGACAGAGTCTTGATGTATAATTTACCCTGTTCTAGAAGTCACAGCAATACTTTTCCCTCCACTTCTGAGTGCTAGAATGACTGAATTACAGGCATGTGTTTTGCCAGAAAATTTTAATGGAAGTGGAGGTGAAATGAGTTAATCCCTCAAAAATACTGCTGTTCCTTTTATGCATTTTGGTAACAAAGTCCTAATTACACAATTGTATAAAAACTGCAACACTTGAGAAAATGACAGGTATCCTTTTACCATGTGTATCTTATTACAGAGATTTATATTCTGGGATTTTCATGTATTGTGGTTAATCTTTTATTTTGTTCTTTTTTCTCAGTTCCAGATGTAGTTTCAATGTTTAAATAGTTTTTAAATTTTTAGTAACAACACATCCATTATTTCTGTAAGTTTCAGAGCTCTATTCCAAACGATGTTTTGAAACAGCACAAGGGTGTGTGTGTGTGTGTGTGTGTGTGTGAGAGAGAGAGAGAGAGAGAGAGAGAGAGAGAGAGAGAGAGAGAGAGAGAGAGAGAGAGAGATGTTTTACCAACTTATCTGGATTTATGTTTACGTTGTAGGTTTGTTCTGTGGAATTATATTCATTACTGTTAAACTAACTGTGGACAAATCCTTCTAAGCTCTCACAGCTGTCCTTTCCAGTTGAAAGAGAACATCCAAATATCTAGCAACAAACTTTGAAATTGAGCAGCTTCTGGGTCCCTTTCGCTAGCTTACTAATATTTATTTGATTTTTTCATTTGGAACCAGAAAATTGCAAATATACTATTACAGTGCAAAAGTGACTAGGAAGTGTTTCATAATAGAAGACTTTAGTCAAAATTCTGACCACTGAAACTATCAAGAAACTAGAATTTTCCAAAATGACTAAAATGGAGAATCCAAAACTAATATAATGCTTGAAGAACAGTTTGCTTGTGTCCCTAGCATTATGGTGAGGTTTGCATCCTGAAGCTGTACAGAGAAGTTGGGAAGTGCCTAGTGGGTCACTCTGCCTGATCCTGATGTTTATATTTTATAATTTATTTAATTTTTGAGTAAATTCAGGCTTAGAGAAACATTTCAATTCAGTACTCAGAAGGTAGAACCAGAAGGATCAGGAATTCAAGGCCATACTTGGCTAAACAGTGAGTTCAAGGCCACTTTGGGATTCATGAGACCCTGTCACAAAAAAATAAAATAATTGAGTTGAAAGAACATTACAGAGAAAATGAGCAAAAGAAAGAAATTCTAGCCACTTTGTTCTGATCCCCTTAGTGCTGCACATCACATACTCAAAACACCATTGGGTTTCATGCTTCTTCCTAATGTGAAGCCTTTTCTATCTGGCTTATTTCATTTAGAAATGTACAGTTAACAACTTTACATGTCACAGAAGGAAACAATGATCCATTTTATTGCACTTTATGAATACACTACAGGATCTTAATCTGTCCATCAGCAGAAGGGACTCTGGGTTGCTTTCAAGGTTTTGATGACTATGAATAATACTATTACAAACATTTTCCCAGAAGTTTTGTGTGAAACTTTTAGTATGCTTAGGTAAATTCCTGACTGTGAGACTGCAAGGTCTATAGGAAGTATGTCAAATGTATTTTCAAAATGATGTAATAATTCTTTGTTATTTTCTTCCATGTTGCTTCTTTACTCAGCTATTAAAGCAAAGGTGTATTTCAACACTTACATAGTGATCTGTAACTTATTTCAGCTTTATTATTTGGAGGACACCAAATATCCCAAAGTAGAGCCCAAAAAATGTTGCCATGAAAGGTTACTAATAGCTGGGCTGGATTTTAGCACTAGTATAAACTTGGACAGAGAGAATGTCAGACATTATTTGTCCTTTATTTTAAGATATGAATGGCTTTAAAAATACTGTTCTCTGAATGATTCCTAGTACCTGGCACATCTTCTTAAACATGAAATTAAACCATACTGTCCTGTTATATAAAGCTGGCACACTTTACTGTTACACTCACGCTCTCCTCTTTGCTTTTTTCCTTAGCCTATATGGTAGATCCAAAGAACATGCTAGAGCCTGTGGACATAGAATTTGAAGTAGGTTCAGAATTTCTTCTGAGTGACAGCGAGGAAGAACAGACCTCCTCAGAACATAGAGAATTCAGCCATGAGAATGTGAAGAAATTCTTGGAAGAGGAGAAGGGCTCCAATACCAAGGAACACGTTATTGATGAAACTCCTGGTTCTTCTTCAGATGAAGATTGCTACATAATAGATGATATTGAATACCAAAAAGGCCCTAAGATTTCAGAAACCATCGTGGACCAAGGACAAGAACATCAAAAGACAGTTGAGACAGCCCCAAAGTGTCCAAGCCCAGTAGTACAGCCTGTGCGTCCAGAGGCAGTGGTGGAACCTATGGTACGCAAAGATTTGCCAGCCTGTTATGTAGTTGAGGTACATTTGAAAGTCTTTCAAAATTAATTGTTCCCTTTTGGATTTGGATAATCAATTTTATATTAGACAGCATTTGTAAATATATAGGATGAGCTTTGTATTGGTTATGTGGAATTGCATGTACCTATTACAGACCCAAATCAAGATTCTCCATCTGCAATGTCCAAAGCAGTCTTCACTATTAACACTAAAAGCTAATAGACAGGTGTTTCAATTTAGCCTCAGCAATATAACAATGGCAAGTTCGTGAGCCTTGGTGTCTTCATTTTTGGAAAGGCCTTCTTGCCTTATAGGGATTTCTGGAGTACCACGAAATTTCTTTGAGAGATTTAGGAAACCTATGTGAATATATTTGTCCCTTAAAAATGTCCTTATACTAAAATGTCGTGGGTTTTTTCTTCTTTTATTTATTTATTTATTCGTCTATTTAATTATTTAATCTATTTATTCATTTATTGGTTTTTCAAGACAGGGTTTCTCTGTATTGTTTTGGAGGCTGTCCTGGAACTTGCCCTGTAGAGCAGGCTGGCCTCGAACTCACAGAAATCTGCCTGCCTCTGCCTCCAGAGTGCTGGGATTAAAGGAGTGTGCCACCAACGCCCTGCAAAAGTGATACCTTGAAGATGCTGGGGCTCGAACCTGGGACCTCATATATGTGAACTATATGCTCTACCGACTGAGCTACATCCCCACTCTTTTTTTAATTAATGCACAATTAAACTCTCAGTGTAGATATGGTTTTAAATTCCTGAAATAATCAGTAACAGTTCTGCAATCTGGCTGTGTACAGGAGCTGAGGAGAGCCCAGCCAGGTCTTAGCAAGGGCCAGTGTGGCTTCTAAACTTTGGAATTTTTCTATGGGCTTGGGTAAACAATTCTTGTCCATGTTCAATGTGTTTTGTGCAGTAAGAAAAGGCATGACCTAGCAGCAATACTTTTGTATTTTTGTGTCCTTACAAACACAGCCAAGAAGAACACTTGACTTGCAGTGTCCACTTTTGAGGGAAAGGTTTGCCCCACTCTATGACCCACAAGTGAGGACACAAATCTATGATTTGAGTACAAACAGGTCGTTTGAGGAGGAACTACCTTCTTACAGAGACATTGAAGAAGAGGTATGAAAAGTCCATTTTACTTTTATAACTGAAAGGTGATTCTATTTACATAAGAAATTTGATTGGCTTGGTTTACTTGGCTCAGCCTACCCCATAGACTGTAGATGAATTGCCCCAGAGAATTTAAAATATCTGTGCTAAGTAGACCTGATTACAGACTCAATGACATACACATGCTTCTGCAGGTGTTCTAGATTCTCTCATATGTCTGTGAGCCAGTGGCATGTCTGTGATTAGTGTGTTACCAAAGCAGTCAGTAGTCCCCATAGCTCAGTATGCACAGACACTGGACTTCCATTATTTTGGGGTTCATTTGAATGTTGTTCATTTCTGGGGGTGCTTTTTCAGGCATCAAGGTATTTTTATGTTTGTTTTTATGCATCAATACCTGCAGGAAAGGGAACGAGAACAATGTGAATATGAGTTGGCTCAATGTACTGAGATGTTTCACAACTTACCATATGAACAGCCAACAGCACAAATGGAGCAAGGGCAAGAAAATCAGGTATTTCAGCCACAAGATCAGGTACAGGAACAGCCAAAGCCTAAGATGTCAATAAGCGGATTGTGGCATACCTGTATCTTTTTACAATAACTTTGTTGTTTGTGTGCAGGTGATGGCTGTTATTAATGACCTGGGACCAGTTTCCATTAATTTCTTTGGAAGTGATAACTCTGAGTATCCACAAAATGAGACACATAGGTAAGCGATGGATGGACTGGGAAAAGGTTGGAGGCCACTGCTCTTCTCCCTGTTCCTGCCTATATAGTGCCTATCTCAGTATTTGTTGTTGAAATGGAGGTTCTTCCAGAAGGATTAGATAAAACAGCCTAAAAACTAGAGATTTCATATATAAACCTTGAAATCATTTGGCTTCAGTGCTCAAGTCCAGATTCTCAGCACAGGGTGTTTGTAAAGATGCTTTTAGTGACCACAGCTGGGTAATTCTGAATTTCATGTTCATTCTTCAACTTCTCAGGAATGAAACCACTAACCATGAAAACCAGGGAAGTAGATGGAGATGATTGTTACATGCTGTGAAGAGGCAACAGCATATAAAGGCTGAACATGGATCATGCAGCATGAAGGCATGCATGCATTCTAGACCAATAATAATGACTTTTAAATGACATTATTTAACTACTTTTAAATGAACGCTGCCTTACTGAAGCAGTATCTCAAAAAATTTGCGACTTTCCATCTAACCTTACATATGTTGACTCTGTCATGTGAAGTGGGCCAGTACCATGTTTTGTGATGCTTCTCATCATCAGAGCCTACCTTAAGAAGGATTAAAGTACAGATTCAGGATCTTTAGTGAGGCTTTGCAATCCATATCATTCTCTGAATTGCCCAAGCCTTTGCTTGTTTAAAAAGCCCTGGACTTGATGCTAGGAAATGTGCCTTGCAGGCATTACTCAGCCACCTGGGGTAGCCATTTTTAGCCAAATGGAATGGAATTTAGAAGGCCACAAAGAGCACATTAATGGTGGAACTATTTAACACAAAAGAAATTAGGTGAAACAAATGACTTGACTGTAATGTATCTCAGCATCTGTGTTCATTTTACCTTGGCAAGTTCTTTCACTAAAAACGAATGTGCACCCAATGAAGACCAGGAGAATTTCTCATGAGCCATCATTCTTTGATTCTTTGATCTATGTCACTGTTCTAAATTTCTTCTCTTACAGATTTTGGGATAATCATGTTGATCATACTCTTCCAATGCTGCATGTCCCGTCGACAACACCAATTCCATATCAACCAGTAGCAGCAACACATCCACCACTGGCAGCAACAAATCCCCCACTGACAGTGACATACCAGTCATTGGCAACATTGTCACCTCACCCATCTGCAAGGTCACATGTAAGTGATCCCTAATCATCTAAAAGTCTTGATTCAAACATACCTGACCAGGGGACCTCAGAAAGTTTCATGCAGCTATGGAATAATGTCATGAACCTCATTGCAGAGCATCATCATTTAGTAAGCGTCAACAAGCCTTGGCTTTACAGCCAAAGAGAAGCAACATGGTAGATATATCTTATAGTTTTGTTTTGTTTTGTTGTTTGTTTGAGGTTTTTTTTGTTTTTACTTTTGGATCAGGAGGAATTCTGGGCCTGTTCTTCATGAGAGGAAAACCGCTAGGAATATGCTCTTTGTTTGAAATTCAGACTTGAAAGCATCATCAATTTGAAGGAAGTTATTATACATATGATGGCAGAATTCACTGCCGAGTAACATCATTGTCTACCGGGATCCTTGTATAACTGAGCTGCACATATAGTTCTTAAATACAACCTAACTTACAGTATTCTCCAGTGTAGATTACCGAATGAAAGTGAGACAGATCTCATTTTTTTTGTTTTACAAGACACGGTTTCTCTGTATTGTTTTGGAGGCTGTCAGTCCAGCCCAGCCTCGAACGACACACCTCATTTTTAATGTCAAACTCATTGCTGAGTTTAGATTCCTTTCTGGAATTACAGATTTTTTTTAGTTTTTTTGAGACAGGGTTTCTCTGTATTGTTTTGGAGCCTGTCCTGGAACTCGATCTGTAGACCAGGTTGACCTCAAACTCACAGAGATCCACCTGCCCCTGCCTCCCGAGTGCTGGGATTAAAGGCGTGCGCCACCAACGCCCAGCCTTGGAATTACAGATTTTATAATCCTACAGTACTGTCTAGGACCTACCTTGGGTATGTCTCACTATATTGAAGAAAATCCCTGAAGTTCCCTTTTGCTGAGTGTGTTTAGCATTCACCTATAAGGTGCCTTATGTTAGGCATGGCAGACACACTTGGGGACCATCTGTAGGGACTGAGCTTGCAGTATAAACAGTGATCCAAAGGACAACAACTTAGGACTTCATATAAAGTCTCAGCTACCCTATGAGGAGCAGAAACATTTAATTTGACAAATTAACAACATATACAAAAGTATTTTCATTGTAGAACATGGTCTACCATAAACAAAAACAGTAATGAAAAGAATTATTAGACATGCTATATGTTTAGAAATTCTAAACAGCTAAATGACCAACTGAACCATCAGTGCCACCAGAAATTGGATCCTTATGAGGAACTTTTTAAATTGAGATCAAAATGAGCAAATGGTCTAATGGGCCTATTAGCAAAGTAGACTCCAATATTACCCATTTTCTTGCCTATTACCAAGACAATGATGATCTTGAATGGGGCTCCAATAGTCTAGTTGTCATCAAGTTGATCTGATAGACCAGGCCAGTGAACGTAGAGTTTCGGATAGCTTTATCATTGGAAGAGATGTAGAGTAGGAGCATCAAGGGCTTTACCACAAGGCCACACTATTCTGACTCAGCTCTGATTTCTGGTTATGAATGCCCTGATCTTCAACTGTCTGCTCAGATTGAAGCCCAACACCTATTCCATCTTTTTTCTCATTCACCACATTTGGTTCCACTTACTGGGTCCAGTAATACTTCAAAATATATTCAAAAAAGAGTCCTACAACTGACATCTTTGTAACACTGCCTTTGTACTTGTCCTCCTCCACTCCCTAGTGGGAGCTGACACCTCTTCTTATACTCTGTGAATGGGGAAATGCAAGTCCAAGGCTACAGGTGGCCTTGACTAGGTCTGGCCATAGAAAAGTGAAGGCCCAGACACATGCTGTAGCTTAAACAGAAATTGTTAGTTCTTGGGACTGTGGATAATCCAAGAGGCAGCTGGCTGAAAGAATGGGACAGGCCTCACATCTTTCCCAGTTCTCTCCTGCTAGCACCCTGTAAGACCCTACTGCAAAGGTGTGTGTAAGTTGCTCCTTAGTTTGAAATAAAGAGATTCTCCTATCACCACAAAATGGGTCAAAGAACTCTAACAAAATATTTTACTTTACCACCCTCCCCCTCTTTTTTTCCAGTTTGCTTCTTCTGACTACCTAAGAGAAGATGGGCCACATTTTGTGCCTCCTGGTCAAGCAAATTCTGGTTATTTTGTGATTGAAGAGGACATCAATCCTCATCCATGAGGGGAAGATGAAGCAGAAGACAGACCACCATGGTCTGTGTGGGAAAGGGACATATAAAGTGGGCAGAGTCCCTTTGCGGGAGAGGGAGGGTGGATTATTTTTTCTCTACTCAAAAATTGAATTTGTGGTTATTTTTAAGCATAGTCAGTTTATTGGAAATGATGCTGCATAAGCAAACTGTCACATCCAACTTTGGGTGTGATAACAAGTATTCACTAGCCCTTTTATGTCCCACAATATTTCGTGTGGCAAGCTGATTTCAATGGGCAGAATTTCAGGAGATTTTTTTGACAAAATAAAAAATGCCTCAGCAGTTTGCAATATAGAAAAGGCCATTCCACCATGTCTTTTCCCCAAATTCTGGGGCCTTAATCTTAATTTGTTCCCACCTTTCTTCTGTAACCCTATAGCCCTGCTATGTTAGATAACATATGTTAAATAGATATTCAATTGTGAGAAATTAATATCTTCACAAAATAAGATACATCTTTGCTTAATAAACACTGTGCTTTACTGTAAGTCTTGTGTCCTTGTGGTTGACTTTGAGATCCTGGGAATATTATTGACTTGGTGTACTCATACCTATGTCCTGATAAAGAGCCGGGGTGTTCTAGAGCTAAACATCTCATGCAGTGTCTGTCCCTAGCATATCAGCCTATTTGCTACCCTCCTGTGTAGCTATGAATATAAGTTCCCCTCTCCTGTCTACAGCCGTTTTGTTTGGTTTGCCTGTGTGTGTGCATTGTGTACATATTACTTTTTAAGACAGGGTCTACCACTGAACCTGGAGCCCACAGTTAGTCTAGACTGGCTGGCCAGTGTGCTCCAGGGGCCTTGCAGAACTTAACACTGGCTTTCCACAAATATTCAAGGTGAACGTCTTTGTGAATTCTGTGATTAGTCAACACCAGGAAAATATTTCACAAAGAAAATCAGTTGTTTGAGATTAGAAAGTGGGAAATTGGGACTGACTGGAATCACTGCACAGAAGCTGGTAGGATCTGGCAAGAAAGTGATCACTTCTACTCAGTATATCTGGCTCAAGTGTACTTAACCAGTAAATAGGCAGACCTTCCTCAGGCTTCCTCTGCCATCAGACTTCTGGCTCTTGCGATACCTATAGCTTGAAGAAACCAGGGAGGTAAGTGGTAGATGAGACAACTTAATACACTACCAACAATTTGGTGACTCCTGTCAGCTTCTGGAAATTCATCCATGGCACACACAAGTCCTGACACTGCAGAGAGATGGGGGTGGTAAAGACACACATGAACCAGGAGCACAAGACAGGTGTAAATGAAGAAGGTTCTTCTTATTTCTTGAAGCTCATAGCACCTCACCACACCACACCACACATCTGCCATTATTTGGTGTGAGTATTGGCACTAGCTTAGTAGGCATCTCCATACACTTTAAGTTCTAAGGTTGCTTAGGGTGAACAGCAAGGCCAGAGATACTCTGGTCACAAGACCCCAAGCCAGATGGGGTGTGGTCAGACTAATTTCTTGTCATCTTTTGCCCCCTGGTGCACAGTTGCAATATTGCGGCGTCTAGTGACCTCTTCAGTTAACATTTCCTGTGTGTTCTGTTCTCAACTTTTTCAGACATTCTGTTCTCTTACTATAGTCACTCCTTTGCCCTCCTGCCCTATGCTGCAGTTGATCAAAGAGAAAGTAACCAACACTGGAGGGACCCAACTTTCTGCTCTCCAAGTCTCAATGCGATGAGAGAGAATCACAAAATTTGATGGGCAAATCATGTACCCTATAGGCTCACAATCTCCAGTATTCTCACGTAGGCACTCTTCCCTGCTTAGGATGTTCATGGGTTTTTTTTGTATCACTCCAGTCCCATACCTAGACTGCCAGTTTGTTTTCTCTAGTTCCCTGTGCGTTCCCTTCCTTATATTCAATTTGGATATCAGAAGGATTAAACAGAAATTGCTTCAGAATCTTTCCAGTGGGGCTTCTTTCACCGTTCTCTGTATCCAACCTTTCCTCATGCTAAAATAGAAGTTTCCTTCATAACAGTGATATTGTTATCTATGTTCTGGATCTCATGCCATTATATGTAACTCGATCTGTAGCATCATTAATTTCCCCCTTTCTACTCTACCAGTTCCACCAGCATGCAAACATGGTGTTAACATCCCTCACCTTAAAATTGATTATTCCTTGACTTCGTGTGTTCCTCTCTAGAAAACACCACAATTTTATGACCCATTTCTGAGCCCTTTTCTTCATTCACTTCTCTCCCCCTGCCCAGAATACTCCTTAACACACATGTGCAGCCTTGGTGCTTATCACTCCATGGAAACAGCTCTTATCAAAGAGACTGAAAATTAGCAGCCTGTCAAATCTCCGTCTCACTCCCATGTTCTATGGCTTGTGACAATTCTGATTAATTTTCCATCCATTCCCTTCTCTGGGTTCTTCATTCCTTACATCTGTTTCCCCTAACTTGTGTCTCACAAGCATTTCCTTGTTACTCTTCCTCTCAATATTGAAGGACATAGAACTGGAATTTGGATTTATATATTTCCTTTTACACCCTAGTTGAATGCACATGTTCACAACACACACACACACACACACACACACACACACACACACACACACACACACACACAGAGTTTACTTAATAAAGACTTGTAGGAAGAGACTTTAGGACTGCGCCGCTAGCCATGCCTATTTTGGCTAGAGGTGCATATGGATGGGGTAATGAAAGGCGATACAGGAGAGACGCACACTCTCATTTCTGCTTCCGGTTCTGTGGCGAAAGCTGCTGACTCACCTTGGTTGCCAGTTTTTTCTTGTAAGTAATTTCTGCAATAAATAGTTACCTATACCCTCATCAAGTGTGCCATTTATTGTTAAAAAGACTAATATTTGTAGATATTTACATTTCACCCTAACGTATAAATACATGAGTGGTTGTTCAGTTCTAATCTGCATGGAATCAAACTTAAACACCTGCAATTATCCTGCATCTTTCAGTGGATAGAACTGCCATCTTTCTAGTTATATTAGCTAGAAATGTGGTGTTGTGAGTTTTATAAGTATCTTCACAATTTTTCCTGCGTAAAATGCTAAGCCCCAGTATGTGGGTATTTGGCCTTGTTTGAAAATCAGGCCACTGTATCTCTATAGCATTCTTCTATCCCCTGCTGAAGACCTACACCATATTCATGAAATCTTGGATAATAGTTGCTGTGGAGTCAGTATGGTGTTGCTATTCCCAAAATTTAATTTTGTTGAAATTTATTCCCCATTATTAATTATAAAGGATGGAAGCCTAATCTAAATATGGGGTTTAGGTTAAGGGACTTTGTGAGGTGATTAAAATTAGATAAACTCATTGGGGTTCAAACTGTTGGTGAATATTATGATTTTATAAGGGAGACACACAGTGTGAATATGCTCAAATGTGAGCACTCCCAACATCTTACCAACTCATCACTTTAACTACCTTGAGACTCAGTAAGGTCAGCATTTATTTCTTCACCTTTACAGCAAAAATGAGACCCTAATCAAATCAGACTCCTTTTTTTGTAACTTATGGACTTTGTGGTATTTTGCTATAAACAACAGAAAATAGAGCAAGTTCAGTTCCTATCACCCATGTTGAGTGGCTCATAGATGCCTGTAACACTCTTTTCTGGTCAATACTCATACCTGTATGCATACACACACACACACACACACACACACACACAAATAAATAAATAAATGAAATAATCTTACAAAGCAAAGAAAAGGTGTGTGTGAGAGTGACAGAGAGATGTTATCTATGTTCCTGAAATGTTGCTCTACAGTACCAGTATCGATCTGTCCTTCCATGTTCTATGCCCTGATGTCTTTTTGTGTCACTATTTCTGCTGCGTTGGTAGGTAGCATGGGCAATGTAAATATGATGGACAGAGGGATTGTCTCCATCTTGCACAGGAAATCATGAGATTTTTCTCACAATATTCATAATAACATACAAATCAAGACTTATTAATTAGGTGTTGGCAAGATGGAAACATGGAGGAGAAAAGTGGGGGTTTTGTTTTTAATTATTTTTTTAAATTTCCTTTGGGGGGAGGATGCTACAGGGGTGAGGGGCAGATGTATGAAGGAACTGGGAAAGGAGTAGGATTGGGGTACATGAAATAGAATTCTCAAAGATTCAATAAAAATTAGGTTAAAAGATGCAACAAAAAAGATTTATGAATTGTCACAAGAAGCACAGAGTGGAGTATCTCTTACAGTCTTGGAACAATCACCGTGATGAAAACCATGATCTAAGGCTTGAAATGTAGCACAATACATTCCTCTTGCCCAAAGCCACTATCGCGGGCTAAATTTTGAACCTCTCATTTATATGCCAAAATTAACTTCCAGTGCTACTGAGGAGGTAAGTAAAATTAATTGATATCAGAAGAAAGGGACTCTCATGAGGTAAGTAGGGTGTGCACAGATGAAAGCCATGTTAATACAGAAGTGTGGTGCTGGCTGCAAACACTAATCAAGAATGACATTTGGAGACACCATGACCATAGAATTCTATCTTTCAGCAGTTTGAGAAAGCATACTACTATTAAGTCATGCAGGCTACGGTATTTTATTACAATGACCTAAACTAATAAATACAGATACTCTGTTGGTGGTACTTGGTTAGGCAACTCCAGAAAAATAATATACCTAGGATATCCCTGGATACTTCCTTTTCTTCAACTCCCAACAGTCAATGAAAGAGCACATCCTTTAGCTCTGCCTCCAAATTTCATCTAGAATCTTTCTGTACCATATCTCCAAAGAGCCGTCATTATCCTTCACGTGTGTTACTGATATTTTTGCAAGATTTCTTTGAGACAATGGGTCACTGTATAACCAAGCCTGGCCTGTAATTCACAGAGATCCACATACCTATACCTCCTCTGGAGTGCTTGGATTAAAGGGCTGTGCTATCCCATCCCCAGAAACTTTTGTCACTTTAAAATGTTCTTCTTACTTTCCTTAGTGAGCCTTGTAGTCCCACTGTCTATACAGCACCCAAAGTGACCTCCATGAAGCCTGTCATACCACTCTCTTGCCTGAAATTCTCCATAGCATTTGCATCATACTAACTCATTATTGATAATATATAAAAATGGTTTGAATACATTTATCTTGCTAAAATTTTTCTTAATTTTGTTCATCGTGTTATATATCATATGTGGTCAGAGTATCTGACCAGCCTGGTCCCACACAGAGACTTATATTAATTATAAACTGTTTGGCTGATAGTTTAGGCTTCTTATTGACTAGCACTCTCTTAATTATTAACCCATAATTATTAATCTATGTATTTATACATGACCTTATATTGCTGGAGAATACCCAGACCTGTTATTCCTTCAGCAGTTACATAGTGTCTCCTCTTGAGATTCCTGTCTGAATCCTCTCAGAATGCTCCTCGTCTGGTATCTCCCCCTATACTTCTTGCCTGGCTACTGGTCATTCAGTGTTATTCATTAACC